TTCCCTCAGCAGACTGTCAAGCAGTTAACCAGCACTTGTTGCCTTCATTTTCGTTTAGATGTTAGTAGCTCTATCTTTGTACATTGACATTGAAATCCTTAAAGGTTTTATAGGACTGCTCCAAATTCAATCATTTAGCATAAATTCAGCAGGTGATAGGTTAAAAATTGACTGCAAGCTTTTTGAAAACCTCAATATCAATACCGTGCCTATTATTTTTCATGGTTTAACACAAAGTGTCTATACTATTTTAAGCTCATAAACCTTATATGACTGTAGGAGGGACAGTAGCACTTTTCCTACCTCACAGTGTACGTTAAACCTCACTTTGCATTGGTTTAGCTGACACACTGACCCTGATAGGTAACGTAAACCGGAGCACACACACACGCACGCACGCACGAACGCACGCACGCACGTGCACACACGCACGCACACACACACACATCCCAAAAGTTTACTTATAGTGATATATCAATTTTCTCTGAAACATCTTAATTTATTTTAATGTAATTTTACCTTGTAACCTCATATCATTTTCCCCAACAGAACATTAAATCATGTTTATACGAATAATTTCTTACAATAGTTGTCATTTCAAAAAAGATAACGAGACATTTTATTTTCGTTTTATTTCTTTATTTGACGAAGAAAGCAATAACGCATCACAAATGTTTTATTTACGACAGTATAATAATAATTAACGTGAGCATAAAGTTTTCAAAATTGCTACATTTGTAAACAGATAGAATGCACTATCATAAAGGTATCCAATTTTCTAGATAAGTAATCTAATTAAATTACATAAATATCTTGCTTCCACGTAGCTGTAGCAATGTTTTAGCAAATGAATACGCCCTTTTGTACATAGCTATGTTTTCTCTTGTGAGTTTTAAATTAAAGATAAGAAAAAAAACATACAAGCAGTTTTAAGAGATACATTTATAATATTTAAAAAAAAATGCATACTATTTCATAATAAATTTCAATTAGTTTAGTAAAAATAGTTTCGGAAGTCGATACAATTGATAACCAATTTAAGGATATCATACTTAATGTAACCATTATTTTTAACATTAAACTAATCTTATAGATTAATATATTAATGTCATTGGTGAATCTCAACTGTATATCTAACAAGGAGTTTTGCCATCTTCTAATCAAAATAGATGCCAATATAACAAGTAATATTTACTTGTTACCTCATATTGAAGTTACCAGTATGTATGCCAAATGACATAAATCCACTTATTTCATCTTAAAAAATAGAGCATCTCTGCTAAAATATGAAACATACCACTTTTACAGACATTGACAACCATAAAAAATATGCAGCATTTTGCAGCCATTTTTGCTAAAATCTAATGATAAATTTATAGTAGAAGAAATCTTACGATATTTCTATTTTCACACAAAACTTAAAACTTAAAACTTATCATGAGTTAAATCTTAATATTGGTTTGTGAGAATGGCTGCTATATTTTATATGTCTATATTATGGTACATAAATATTGCTCAGTACTTATATAACGAAAAATGCATGTAACGAACAACGCGAATCATATCAAAATCTGATGAACAAAATTTGTCAGATCTATATTGATAATAATAAAAATACAGACACTTTGCTTGTTGATTGAGATAAAAAAAATATCTCAAGTCATTAATACTCATCAGCAATTTAATATATTTTAGTTGTTTGTTTGATTGGGTTTTACGTCACACCGACACAGTATAGGTCATTTGGCGACGTTCCAGCTTTACTGACGTTCGTAATCAAGCTGGATAGGTTCCTGACATGAAAGAATCCAAAGTCCCAGTAGGGATTCGAACACACAGCGTCGAGGAGAAAGTGGTTTGAAGTCAACGACCTTAACCATCGGCCCGGACGCTCTTTTAGATGTTCTTTTCAACACTCTTGTAAGATACATCACGGTATCACGTGGTCACGTGGCGGCACGTGATCAGTATATTTAAGTCACAAAAAGACACGTGAATGTTACAGCGTCTCTTCAGTAGCATTCCATACACAGACACGACCATCTCTGCTGCCTGCGCCGGAGATCATGTAACTGTGCAAAACGTCGTTACTGAAATGAGGATCAAAATAATACTGATTAGATTGATTGTTAAGCAGATAAAAAACACACACAAAGAAAACGAAAATAGAAGATTGAACTGTTATGCAACCGTGAGTTCGTTATTTATATCCATACTAAAGACAGACAGATATAAGAGCTTAATAATACTACAAATAATTTTAATTCATTATTCGCATTTAATTTCATGACTGATCAGATCCTTATGTGATTCAAACAATTCTGATTTCTTTTTCAACAACGAAATGCAAGCAAAATAAAATAAATTATAACTTTTCGCTTTAGCAGTAGCTCGAAACTTGTTAAAAGAGATATGTTTAAAATTATCGGATCAAGTAAGTTTTTAGACTTATCATCATTTGTTTGGTTTTTCACCATTTGTCGTGTTTAAATTGTTGAATTCTGCTTAAGCCGGTGCTAGGGGGCGTGGACGGTAACTTGCACTTTCCAGTACTGTCCATGAACAGGCTCAATCAAACCGAGCCTGCATCATTTTTAATTTTGTCGCGTTGAACTTTCTTTAGGGATTCTGTATTTCTCTATTTTATTCACGGTACTCGCATTTATAGTCTTGTATTATATTTTTTATTTATACTTTTGAACGATACGTCTACACAAAACACGGTAATAAATAATTGACAACAGTTCTAATTGTTACTCTTCGCTAGTACATGGTATTGACAAGTATGTGAAAACCCTATTTACATTTGCATCGGATTCATTAGAATCGTACAAAAAATCGCAACATGTCTTTAATAATTTGTGATCAATCGTTTTTGCTTTAGACGGTGTTAACTTATACTTATTTCTTGTCAAAAATAAATAAATATATAAATAAGGAAATAAATCGATACCGATAAATGTATTTGAGTTATTTTCAAAAATTCTGTAAGTTAAAACACTTTCAAAGTTATTTTAAAAATACTGCAAAATATGTAGTTAGTATGTCTAACACACCATATAGGGAAAAACAGCACGTACTTTTGATTTCCTTTAAAGAAGTTTTATTAAATGTTTCATAACTATGACATAGTGATAAAATACCGAATCGAAATTGCATGCAACAAAGTACAATTATTTTTTCTTCACTAATTCAGCTGATGATATAAGGTTGTACGTAAACGAATGTTTGCTATAATTTATAAAGCTTAAAAGTTTTGTTACACACAGTTGTATGACTATTGCTATTGCATAATATATGAGGTATCAGGTTACATTGTAAAGTATATTTATCGTATTAGTTTGCCTTATACTGTAAAAAATAACGATAAACATGAAATGTGGAATCATCAAATGTCACATGGATACGACCCCATCACAGATTTTTCATTCATTTATTTCAATAAGTACAATATGGTAACTAGCTTTGCGGTTTACTTTATTACGTCTTTTGCTTCGTTCACGTGTTTCTTTTTTTCTATGTGTAATTCTAACGGTGTTGAACTTCATTGACATTTTAAGCATGTTATATTACCTTTCTCTGATGTTATACAAAACTTTAACTGCATCTTCATGTCCCTGTAATTGTTTCCAAATGCTGTAATCTTTTACAGAATATATATAAATTTCGCCGTGTTTTAAACCAGCCCAGATCTAAAATATACATAAATATTATCTCGGAAAAAAACTGAAATAGTATAAATAATTTAAACATTTTAAATTGACAAAATGTTGTTATGTATGCAGAAATATTAAAACATGTCATGTGTAAATCTACAAGATTTACAACTGTTTTTATTGATAATACTCATGTGTTGCTAATGTAACTTGAGTTAATAAACATATGTTCTGTTCTGATAACTACCTTAAGCATCAATATTTTATAATATAAATTCTACGATTTGTAACTCGTCATAAGTCTTCTTTCTTCCTCTCGGTACGTGTACGTCGTTGAGAAGACACAGGGCATCGGCTGATGATTGAAGAACCAATGTTACAATGTACGTGTAAGACATTAAGTTCGCATGTTTTCTACAGCTCGGTGTTACGTGTAAGACAGGACGACTTAGCTTGCATGAAGTTAACTGTCGGTGTCCTGACTAAAGCCGAGAAGAGTGGCCCTTCAAAGTAGGTAGAGTTTACAAGGATGGTGTACTAGGGTACGTGAGCCCCTAGTGCCAATGACGGCTTGTAAGCCAGGCCCTTTGCTTGGCACCAACAGCTCTTTTAAGAGCTATCTCCTTTCATTATTGTCCCAGGTTACTGTACATTTAGGCTCTCGTTGACGGCCGTACAGTGACCTACTTTAGTATCAAAATTCATATCTTTGGCTAATACTTCGTGGAAATTGCCACGTGGTAAATTATCACCATTTTGTGCTTCAAAATTATCTCTTTAAGGGCATGTCTGGTGATATGTCCGAGGTCCGTACTCGACAGTGAGAGTAGCTTTTTGTGCCTTAATGGGCGGATGGACCCTTATTAAACATAGACTACACACACACTCGTCATAAGTTTTAGTAAGAGGCAACACGTGAAAGACTTGCAATCACATGTGTGTTGATATCTAAATACTTTATGTAATATACACTTTTTTCATAAACATTTCATTACTGTTCTATTACATTAATCAACGCCTATATGATGGAAATACTGTTGGAAAAAGGCTTTAAATGAAACAAACAAACAAACATTACTCGAAGATGAAATAAACATTATCAGCGAGAAACAAAGTATACTGTACCTTGTCATCAAATACATTAATACTACTGATTCCTCGGCAATTTGGAATAGATATAACATGTTTCACATGCCCTGTGGAAATATCAAATACGTGTATCTTGCCATCATGTCTTGTGCCAGCCCACACCTATAATATAAATATATAGTTAGACTTTAAAAACTTAATGAACGAAAACTTAATACGTATGTTTATATACTATCACCACCTGCTGTATGCTTGTAAACATTTTATGGAAACCGTTCCTAGGAAGTATATTTTTATGGAAAATAGATAAAGTGACTCTTACCACACAGTTATTGATGTAAATTGAATAACTTTTTGAAATTACAGAAGTGACCATGTGAAGAAACTCCACTGAGGTGACAAAGTATTAAAACATAAAATTTGATTTCTGTACCCAAATCAAGTGAAGCATTTGAAATGGAAAAATCTGCAAAGGATAAAAATCTAAGGAACCCAGAATACAATGGAAATTGATATTCTTAGCCCAATTTGAGTGAAAAGTGTTGCATCGCTTTTCTTTTTTCGGTTATTTTGCATAATAAAACTGATTATTTTCGAAAACCACGGTGAGGGAAATATTTGGAATTTGCACACGAGTTATATGTCGGAGATATATCAAATATTACATAGATAGTAAATAATATCTCCAGCCCATCATGTCAAAAATATTTCAGTGAAGTCCCTTAATACCTGTTTATTGCTGAACGAGTGTACTAGGAAAATATAATCCATAGTAAACCCCACGAAGGAAGGAGGACTTTTTTCCTGGCATGAAGTTAGCATTTGACCTCATCGGTGTGAGTGAAAGGCAAAACAACAATACTCACCTCACCGTTTTCAAGAACGTGGAAACAACTTATTTCCGTCACGCCACCGTCCTCAGTTATAGTCAATGTCTTAAGTAAAGTTGCATTTAGATCACATATGAGTAGACTTGAAAAGCCTCCTGAAAAAAGAAAGCAGGACCCGTTTTAAACAATATGTAATCTATGTATTTCAGACTAACTTATTAAATTCAAAATATAATCTGTCAGCGTATACTGATATTTAATTAGGGGAGTATTATATTATATGTTATTTTGGTTTTGGAGTGATATATGTGGATATATTACCTGTCAAGATTTATATCACCCGAGCCGTTAGGCGAGGGTGATATTTTATCTTGGCAGGTAATATATCCACATATATCACTCCAAAACCAAAATAATAATTTTATTACCCTTCCCGTGCCGAGTTAAGACGATTTTAAAATAAATCATTGCTACTTCAAATGAAACGTCGAAATAAGATTCCCTTTAGGATACCCCTTCACCATAACATGACGTCACATAAATACCAAACTCCTCACAGTGATTACCTCCCTTGGCAGAATTGTAATCACTGCCTTCAAAGACGTCACATGATGATGAAAGTCACATGACGTAACGTCGAAATTCAAATGTAAATATAGACCGTTACAAAGAAAATCTAACGTTATTTTTCTCTTTCTGTTTTATTTTTTACTTTTAGTGCCTACGTTCCATATAGTTTATTAAAAAATTATCGAAAGTATACAAAATAACGAAAAATAAATTCAAAAGCTAAAAAATATAAAATATCAAAATATCGTCTCGGTAGAAAATAATCTCATAATTTTTAAAATTATTTCTAAATATTCATATTATTTATTTATTTATTCATAAACATTGTTAAATAAATGAGAGAAAACTTATCTGATAGCTAAAAGCAGTAGATAAAACAATTTTTGAAAAAATATAGTATATCAGAAATTCTGATATATTGGGACCTTGGTGGCAGAGATCTACGCCGAAGAATTAAGGGGAGATCACTGTGTGGAGATTGCATAAATACATGACGTATTTTCTTTCGAACATAACGGATGTAAACAAGAGAAAAGGAGTAGTCTGTTGAACGCACTTTTTTGGAATTAATATCAAGCTTTCACAAGGTCATATTTGTTTCCTATACTGACGAGAATATGTATCATTACTCTATTTTGGTAAATATTAATCATTTGATAGTTTAAAAGTGCTTATAAATCGGAATTTATATCGCGTAAAATCAAACCGTACGCGCATCGCACGGCGCATGTTGTTTACAACGTGGGGTACCAATCGGGGAAATTTAATGTGTATATTACCCGTCTGGCTCGGTTATATCAATTTCTTTCGGGTGATCAATATCCAATCAAAAAGGCGGAAAAAATCTGGAAGGGTAATAAAGTGTTATATGGCAAAGGTTTGTTTTTCATAGTTAAATATTTATTCTAAGTTCCGTAACATTTATTTCTAAATTTTCTTCTTTAACTGTATACCTTCTATGATAGGGATTTAAAAATTAATTGCTTAAGCTTTTTAAGAATCATCTTTAAAAAAAAACTACAAAAAAAACAACTAGCTCTTATGCGTTTTTAATTATCTATATCAAACAGGACTTTGCAACGAAATTATTCTTGTGAATGTGTGTTATTCAGCAAAAGTACCACATATTAGTCTGTCTTTGAATATTTTAATGGATGTGATAGCAGTTTTAAGATTTATTTTCTTTCTATCTTCGGCCAAATTTTGCAAATTCCATCTTATTATAGTCCCGTCGAGGCTTGCAGTATACACGCTTCTGAAATAGTAACGCCAACTGTTAGCAAAACCAAAGAACAATATATAGAAATGGCAGATGAATAAATAGAACTATATCTACATGTAACAATTGCTATAGGTACGTATCAAGAAGCTGATTAGCTTTATAATTTTATAAAACTTCCATAGACTACATTTATATGCAACAAACATATTGAGAATATTGTATGAGTGTAAGTTCAATACTAAATTAATTGAACAAGTTGAATAAAATATTATTAAGGGAACCTCTAGTGAGCATTATATAAACGAGTTCAATAAATTCAGTGATGAACCTATACGAATATAAAAGCAAAAGCGGCAATGGAATGTAATAAATTAATTCATTGTATGCATTTACGCCAATTACAAAAACAGTTATTTTTTAAGAATATTTCAGATTTATATCTAACTGCCATCAGCAAATTAAATACCTTTATTCTTGCTACTAAATCCTTTACATTTCGTTTTCATAACTAGCTGAATATTTTCAAAAAACACATACCTTGTAATCATCAGACACGGCTATATCAACAACTTTTTTGGGGGGTTCAGGATGTGCAAGTATTGTCCTAGTACATGTTTAGTGACTTCACGTCTATGATTGTGAATACCAGCAGAGCCCACCCAAACGTGACTTTTATCAACCGGTGTAAGGCACGCCTATAGAGTAACACATAAACGATATCAAAGTTAACAAAAAATAATCAGTAACGTTTAACAGGCAACTTATGTTTGCCCAAGCTTCCATTTTGCTATCACTACATGAAAAAATCGCTTTAAATTAAAATAGATAAAAGCATTTTTTAACTTCCACTGCTTATTTGATAAAGACGAATATATTTTAAAACAAAAATCATATTAGTTCAATTAAACTTAACGTCTGTTTAAGAACATTGGATAAAAAATGTAAATTAAAAAAATCGTTCTATAAATAAATGTATATAATCTTTGTTTAATTTATAGTTCATGAATATGCTGTATTCAATAACAATATTATCAAATAAGCTTACTATGCATGCATTTCTGAGTTCTAGGTATATAACTCTATCTAACAGCCATGTCAATGCGTTGTAAACTTTGATTATACCGTCACGTAAACCACACCATAGCTTGGGTTGGGAAATATTCCCTTCTGAAAGAAAATAAAAATATATGTCATGTTTTCAAAGTGTATTGTTTAAAACATTTTTGAAATACTATAGAAACGCATTGATGCCTGTGGTGTTCAATAATGTTTTAAGGATTTAATGTTTTTAAGACAGCCATCATTTATATATAATATATTTAATAAAAAACAAAGCTTTTCATTTAGTCTCCTTCAGAAAAAAATGCCGTTTAAGTTGCCCATTTTTGTGTTATAATCATCTGGTCCTTCGGGATCATTGATTCCAGCACATTAAGTGTTGAAAATTTAGTACCGCTCAGGCAAGATCCTGTGGACGTGAGGCATGTTGCATTTTTTCTTCTCATGTACAGACTCAATTAAACCGAGACTGCTTTTTTCATGTAATTTTGTTTTTTTTAAAGCTTCTGAGGCAACGCTGTTTTTCCACATTTTTAAAATCGTTTTCTTTTTAAATGATAAATATAATACATAACAAATAAACTCCCCCTAATTTGAATATTCCTCGAAAGTGAAGTTTATCTACTTTTAACACGGTAGTCTCGCGTGCCTTTATATGCAATTCTTTGATAAAAATCTAAAATGTTGCTCATTAAAACATTTATTCTTACCCCCTCCAGTGTAAAGCAGTGAATAAACAGTTTTCTGGTCCTTTTCACCAAAGTTCACATCTATTTTCATCCGTAGGGCATCTTTTGTATTATCAGAGAGGTGATGTGTACCATTTAGATATAATTCATAAAAGTAACTTAGTTTCACTGCCACAATCTCCGACTTCATAAAATGCGTTGAACATTCATCATGTCCACTGAGGAAAATAAACGAATTCGTTATTTTTCTACTATAAAGTTAATAGATATACGTGTTACAATGATTAATTTAGAACTCTGGAAATCGGATGATCCCTTGGCAGCATTAATCACAACAAAATCACATGAAAATTGCAAACTTTGTTTGATTGAGCCTGTACATGAGGGATAATGAAAACGTGTCATCTCTCAACCCTCAAGCACCGGCTTGAGCGGTAATCAATTTTGAATACTAAACATTGCTGCTAAATGATCTTGAATGACCAGAAAAATATAACAACATTTAAATCTCATAACTTGAATATGGAATTTACATTTGCATTTTTTATGACCATATACAGTACATGACAAGTATTTATATAGCTTAGTATAAACATGGTCTGAAAAAAAGCATAAACTAGCTACAGAGCAATTAACTGTTTTATACAACCTAGCAATTACAGCATCAATGAGAAGTGTGTTTTGTATAGCATGTTGTACCATCATTACGTCCTTCATCGCCTGCGCCACAACTTTCCCCGCCCACATCTCTCTTATAACCAAATACAACAAGTTCCGTTCTTCATTAAAATGAATTGTGAAAGAATTTGTTCCTACCCCTACATTTAACGATAAGATTTTAAACTTCATTTAGCAATTGATTAAATCTACAAAAAACATTTATGGCATCTACTTAATAGTGTTTAAAAACAAATTACTTTGCAATACGTTTGTAATGAACATTACAAAAAGAGCCCGATGACATCAATTTATGGTTAAGGCAAGAAACATCCGCGTTTACCATCTGATATCTGCTTTAATATGTCTGCATGTTAATGTGTGTGATGTGGAAAAGCAGCCTATTAACTTTGAGGCAGATAGATGTTTTCACTTTCTCAATGTCGAACGCATTTCTTTCTCAGACTGCCAGTATAACGTATCATATATTCTGTTATGAAGGTTCTTCATTCATTAAAGCAAGGCATTCACTTAAGATTTCGGTTATATAATGGTAAATACTCAGAATCGAATAAAACGATTGATGTGCAAGTAAACAGAATATAAAACATAAAGAAGGTACCTTCTGTTATTATTTTAAGAGCTTGAACACCATTCAATACGCCGTAGAACATGCCATTCATGTCAACCTTCTCAATAGCTTTAATCTTTCGCAACTTTGCTATTTCTTGGTATTGGTTCGTCACATCATTCAGGAAAAATAATCTGAATAATTCAAAATGAACAATACTATTCCAATTTCAACCAAAACTAAAATATTACTTTATAATCAAATATTTATCAAAACACATATAGTCTAAGCTAATAATTTTTGTAAGATATAGTACGCTTAAATTTGATATTTGAAAATACTGAAAATTGCTATACAGCCTGTTTTTCAGTGTAAAATAGACATCTTGATTTCCAACTGTTCCTATACTCGTATCACGAAAAGAAAAGAGAATAAAGATCAATAAGGCAGTCCCCTACATAACCCATTCACACCAGTAGGGCACTCAGTAGGCACCGAACTATCAGTTTGGGAGAATTAATAAAATTAACCTTCTATCAGTTAGTCCGATACGCCCATAACCAAAGTCCGTTTGACAACCTGTTGAGATCTTGAGAATCGTTTCCTCATCTGAGAGAATATGTCTTTCTAACTTAATCTTCTTACACTGTATCCTATTGTAGTCCCAACAACGTTTCAACTTCCAGAATGTGGCCTGTTTTACAACTTCAAATAAATTAAGATATGATTTAAAATCTTATTCAGAAAAGAAAGAAATATAGCTGGCCGCAATGCTAGTTGTATGTTATCAATTGTCAAAACAGATATAACAATGAAATATGAAAACAAAATCAACAAGGAAATAAGGCATGCAATGAACGCCTCCTCCAACAAATCCAGCAATATAGGACCACAAGCAAAGAGCCCAGGGCACTACACGGCCAAATCTAAAATTTTGCCAGCATTGTAGACGGATGCTGACGTTTGACTTTGGGGCTTTTCCAATTAACGACAAATGAATTTATTTGGGCCCATTTATAACCCGACGTCCCCTGCATCGGTTTAAATTTAGACCATTTTCGCAAATTTGTATTTATACAAGCGGTAAAACTTGGAATTATCAATTTTGGGCCACTTCTTGTAAACTCTTTTAAAAAGTGGTGCATTTGCCACAAAAACAAAAAAAAGGATCGGATTGCTTGTCGCGTGGAACACCTATCGTAAAGTTACGATAGATTTTACACTTAAGTGTTTTGCTTAAGATTTTTTTGAAAAGGTGATTTATCGTAAGATTTCTCTTACGATATAAATTTGTCGTAAGTTTTTTTGTGTGAAAATGTCTGCAGACCTCGCTTAAGGCAAGCCATTCTTTTAATGTGTAAGAAACTTTACATTCATTGCTTAGTACTGATTAATGCCAAGAACAGTTTAAATTCTAGAGTTTCTTTAAGCTCCATTCAACACAATCTAATAGAAAAGAAATTTTGTATAGAATAATTACCTTTAGTATGTACAATCTCATCTGCTGAAGACTTTGATTCCACTACAGACAAGGCATCGAACAGTCCTCGAATTGTTTTATTGTTGTTCGACATGTCATTTAATAAAACAATTTCCTCTAACATACAAAAGTCTGCAATAAAAATCACCATACAATTCAAAAGACTATATTCCTTACATTTTTAAGTGTTTGTTTGTTGCTAAATTGCTATACATCTTGAAACTTTTGTACATATTTACAAAAAAAATGTTAAATTAGAATAAAAAAGAGAAATGCTCGAAGCTTAAGAAATACATGTATACTTTTATGCCCTAAAACATTATAAAGAAGAAAACAAAATTTTACCAAGGTCAGAGTCCGGTGTTTTTAAAGGCTCCATTTTAATTCTATAGCGTTCTTCCTTGCGTTCATTGTTTTCCTTTATAAAGTACAGTATATGTTTATGTCCGGGTAAGTTCATGAACTCCTCTTCCTCTTCTTCTGTTAATCTACTGTATAATTCCGACACAATCCTATAAATAATTAGATAGAAATGAATGGTTACATATTTCTTTCCGCCTAGCGCCTGGCATAGTGGTAGAAGTTGGGAGGTACAAAAGATTGTCTCATAAGTCAGATATGGCTGGCCCTTTCAGTAGGGGTGATACTATAATAAACAAGACCTTTACCTTTATAAAATAAAGTTCAGTGGTTCTTTTCCAGGCATAATATAGTTTGTGCGTTCTTTATGGATTCTATTTTTGTCCATTTTAGCAACAGGAAAGAAGTGACAAAATCATGCTAGTATATACTTAAATTACACTATGATAGCTCAAACAATTGTGTCATGGCACATGAGAGTGTAAACATTAGAGTGATGGCACATGAAAGTTTAAACATAATTTTTTGGGGGGACATTTAAAAAGAACTTATTCAATGCTTATCTAATCACCATATAAAATGATAAATATGTAATCATATAATTTTTTATCAGATCCGTACATGTATATATATCATTCTCGTTACAGAGTTAAGTATTTCATGTATATCATGTTTAACTCGGTGTTTTTAAAAACTTTATATTGATTTTTTGTTGATGTTTTTTTCCTTATTCTTATTTCTTTTTATTTTGTTGGTGTTAATTTTTTGTATAAATATCATCATGCATACTGTATAGGTAATATCCTAACATTTGTTATTAACATGTCTATGAAATCTTTCAATGCATCCATGTTTTCGTCGATAGCATACTTGAACATTGCTCGGATATAGTATAGAGATGCCTTCTCCTCGCAGTCACACAAACTCTGAAAAATATGACGAAATTATAAAAGCTTATATAGCAGTCAGCAAGTAAAGTACACAAAAAAATCCATTTTAAATTTTCTTTATCAAACATACAAACTAATGCATTAAGGTACTTGGATTGCATTACAAAACGTATTATGATCATTTAAAAGAAGACAAGGAAATACAATGTTTTCCAACGAAAGTATATCTGTGTTTAGTAATATTTCCAGATAAATATGATGAATTTGCTTTGAGCACAGTACAAGGCCGTTCACATCGATATCGCAGCTATTCATCTATGATAATAGAATTTAGGCATCAATAGCAAAATACTTGTATAAAATGTACGTTGAACATAGTACATGTAGTAATAATAAAAGTATGAAAAGCATACCTCTAATTTATTTGATATCTGCAGCTTTATGTTTTCGGTATGATTCTCTAATTTTGTGAAGTTCTCCAGATAGAGAACCTTTAATTCTTCTTCAGTTGATTGTTCACAAAAAGTCTCATCATGAGAAAGAGCGTACCTGGACCTAGTGTGCATGTTTTATTACAAAAATATAATATACTTTTGTGATCAATTGGCAAATGAATGAGTACATGAGGACTGATAGACACACTTAACAAAAATGATACAGAAAACATTGTTTTTATATAAATATTTTGAATGTGTCCAACATATAGTCGCCATTATTACTATATGACTTATTAACATATGATTAACAGTTATCCGTTGATGCGTTTAACTGAGACGCAGTCTCATACCAGTCGAAAGAAAGTGATATTTATCATTAATCGATTCTAGCCAAATTTTATATACATAAACCTACGTCATAAAATGTAGCTTTGTAACTAAATGTATCCGTCTTCCTTATGGGATTTAGGGTACTTACCGACAAATTAAATCAACGATACATTTAACTTTTCAGTAGATTCTGACAGTTTAGGTTTTTTTTTCAAAAATGAGGTCAATGATTAAATGCGTTTTGATTATTTACACTCTTAAGAAACGGATACAAATGAACAAAAGCACTGTGAAATGTTTTGTGTTTGCCATCCGCGAATTAAAATCCTATATGCCTTATTTGCATGAAAACAGAATGTCCTGTAACATTGAAAATTAACCAAATGAAGAATTGCATTCTGATCATATAATAAATACTTATTTTATATGAACATTTCGGTAAATATTTAACATGATATTGAACTCGGCATCCGACCTCTAGCCTAGTCCATAAACTTGGTTATTCAACCTAATCACATTTTCTCCATACTATATAAACTAAACACATACATATATTCACATGAATTGGACTAAGACACATTGTAAACTTTGTCTAAAAAGTTTGCAAATGACTTAATATCAGTATCCAGCAAACTAATAATACAAATAAAAGTAAATTTTGCATTCTACTTATTTTATCAATTGGGTCAAAATAACAAGCAGTAACCGACAAATACAACGTTTATGAATTATAATGGTAATCTTGACTTACTCATTTGATCTCGTCAATGACATTAAATCACGCTGTCTAATTATTTCCAGCCAATAGTCCGTCTTTCCTTTCATCTGCTCTTCTAAAAATGTCTCAAACATTTTCGTTTGAAACACCTTAAAATAAATAGATACAAAGAAATATATATACTACTTAAAGCAGACCTAAAACCATTTGTTAGCAAGAAATTGTTCGAACTTGATAGGCACGTACCATTTCTAGATGGAAACCTGTTTTGATTGATATAATATGAGCTTCCAACTCTGCGGTATTATTACCCATTTGGGTTGTATAACTACTGTTATATACGAAGTATTACTATTAACGTTTGTATAACTAAGGTGGTAAATACTTTACAAATCAAAATACATGAAGCATTCAGTTGATATTTTCACAATAAAATGTATTTATGATTGGTTTGTAAAAGAATTTGTTTGACAGATACAGTCTGTTGTATTTTGAATAGCTACTGTGTTATTTGTGAGAGTACAATTGAAAGTTATTGGTGCCGCTCATGAACTGACACAATTACTAAAAATCAATTTTGATTTGTTAGTTATATTTGTTTGAATTTCTCTAAAGTAATTTTCTATTTCGTATGATGAGTAGCAAAATATATTACCCTTTCATAGAAATCCTTGTCCGACACATGTTTTTCCAAAAAACTACCCTTGTCAAAATATCTACGTTTTGGCTGTAGATTGAGTAAAACATCACTGCAATGAATATACCATTAACTGTTTTAACTTTGACCTGACATTTTCTTTCAAATACAGAGCATTGTAACATTAACACCTCAAATAAAAATTATACTTTTCTTGCAAGTATTCATTTCATGCCTTTTTCCTATTTATGTTTTTGTTTGCTATTCCAGTCTTTTTTATCGAGATTAAACACATAATTATTTGGTTCTGTATCAGGTTTTCAAAAGTTTCCTATCTCCATTGCATTTTATATCTATAAAGCTCCCAGCATGCAGTATCCTCGTTAAAATGTGATGTATAAAGAAACATCTTACATTATTATTAATGAAATAAAACTACTAAGTAAAAGTTAAAATATTGACGGGGTTTAATTATTTTAGTAAACTCTTAAACAAAAAGATATATCGTTCCCTTTTCGACCTTTTTATTTCAAAAACCCAAAATTTAGAGTTTAAAATTTT